GCTAAAAGTAAACTATCATATCCACTGATTGTCCATTTTTAGTTCCTGGTAATGACTTTTATCCATATCTAGATCTCATATTAGATGGTATAAAGGATGAATGTCACTAATTTTCATAATTAGAAAATGTTTTTCCATCTCATTGTTATAATCTAAAATTAAATGACTTACCAGTAATCTTAAATTTTGGAACTTCAAAATCTCTTAAAAATAATTAGATTCTATCACACCAATTTTGTAGATTGATCTTTGTAACAAATCATATTCATGAAAACAGTCATTAAAAGTTAAAAACAAAAATGGACACTCTTCCAGAAATCAAGATGACCAGATCCATGTAGCTGATCTTTTCTCTGATGTTGCTCTAATAGCTTAACAGGGAAGAAAAGACCAAGACTCAAAAACCAATTTGGTGTCTGTTCATCATCACTGATCAGATCCTGAGTTTTCTCCAGCCATAATGAACGGTTGAACTATGAATTAAGTTCCATTCTATGAACATCTATCGGGTCTCAAGCAGAACTCATATGTAATCCATTGTTAAGGATGCTGGAAAAATGGTTTGCTCATTCTGTCACTTCAGGAAGTGCCTGACTTTTTTCTGTCATCTTTTATCTCTACAAATATCAGATTGAGCCAGAAGATGAAGATTGACATTGTATTTTAATTTCTGAAGATCATAGTTGGAAGAAAAACAAGAAACAAGAAGAGAATTCCACAGGTGAGAAGTGCAAGAGAAGAAACCATTAACACAAAATGTATGGTTATACTTAACAATTTCAACAGTAAAATAATGAGATCTACTTGCTAATCTGGTACTGTGCTTAAAGTTATGAAATCAAGGTACCAAAGAGGAAAATTCATCTGAACAGTTACCATGAAACTATTTTTAGGGAAGGCACAGGGAATCTATGTTACAGTGGTAGGAAAGTGACTGAAACCAAAATGCTTGATACCATTTGGAGTTTTAACTATGGAAACTATACAAATCTTGTAGTAGTACACTGAATGACAAAATGGCAAAGACTGTTTTTATCTTTTCAAAGTTCTTTCTTGGGACAAAACAAGTCCTCAGTAAGAACATCAGATTAATAATGCCCTTAACAATGGAGTCAGTCTTTTTACAACCATTACAAAGCCCAAGACCTACTTAAGGCAAAGGGAATAAAGTTGTTGCATGGATGTAAGAAGAAGATTTAAGCATAGATTATGAACATAGATAACAATTGCCTTCAACTTGAAAAGGCTAAAATTGTTGTGATTATATAATAACTATCTCACATGTTGGATATTGTTGCATGTGGAGACATCTTTACTTTGCTTGATTTAGCAACGGCAGCAACGGTAGAAGGGAACAACCAGAAGTCTGAGAACTCATAAAAATGCTGACTGGGCCCTATTCAGCATCTTTTCTACTTTTCTATCTTCAAGGCCCAGCTTGAAGGGATACTCACAAACCTTGCTGCAGAAGACATGTGAACTGTCCTAGCAGCCTGACTTCATATTTCTTGTTTCTTGTGGAAACAAATGGGGAAATCTCTTTCTACGAAACATCTACTCAAGGGAAGAACTTTGTTAACTGGGAAACCTTACATTTTTCCCACAAAATACCACTATTTTTCCCCCTCACCTTCAACCACAGATAAAAGCTGTTAAACAGTTGTTTTGAGTTTTCGGTTTGTTTGTTCCTGTCTATAATAGTGCCAAGGACACAACTGGGAAAAATTCCTACAATCAAGAAAATATCCTCTCACAAAGTAACAGTTCTTGGGAAGAAGCTGTTTAAATGGAACATCCTCCTTATTAATAGGATACAAAGAGAATGAGAATGATTTGACCCTGTGTAAATTGCACATGGGGAGTTCTAACTGTAAAGGTTCAAAATGGTGTAGCTTGTATTGACATTTGCCATGGAAACAGTGATACAGTAGCAATAGGCTTGTGATGTTACTTTATGTTAAAATACTGTTAAAGAGGGAACCCTGTCATGTTGCAATGGTTAGCAAACCAGTTTCACTGATAAGTACTACTGATTAATAATCCTTTACTGGATGCTCCTTCTATGAAACCTTGTGCCAAACTAACCTAAGCTTATTAAATGCTTTAAATCTATGTGAGTTTGGTTAGTAGAAATAAACAAATTTTTTATTACATATTATTTTTCAAGGCCTGAATATTTTTTTACTGGTTAACTCACTTTTTCTCTCACAATTAGGATAGAGGAGGGGGTCCCCTATTAAACTGAATTCAAGCTCTGTTTGTACATATTTTGTTTATTGTATATGATTTATATTATTTGGTCAAGTTAGCTCAGACATACATGAGTGTATCTCACCAATTATGATGGTCTTGCATCAAGATCAGATGGTTGTTAGAGTGGCATTCTGTGTCATAACATAGTTGGTCAATGTAGATGATTTCTGGGTGACCAACCCATCTTGTACCATAGTTAGGTGTCCAGAGCAGTAAATCATTTGCATTGTTGTTGTTTTGTTTGTCAGCATTCTGTATCCATGTAAGATTGCAGAAATGTCAGGGATTGGTCCATGGAGCTGTGATTTAGTTGGATTTTGTCTCCAAGAGATGTCAAGTATAACACTCAGCATTCAAGTTTAGGTTCCATCAAGCTTAGACCCTAGGGTTTTAGCTAATGTCCAAGCAGTGGCACCATGCATTAAAATCACCTCTACAGTGGCACAAAACAAGCTTCATTTGAGGTTGTCTGGTAGATCAGATTTCCAAAATACATTCATTTTATTCAAGATGGCCAAGGCTTTAGCTATATAGATTTTCACAACCTTTTCAGTAGAATTTATTTTACTTCCTAGCTTGTAAAAGATTTGACAAAATTTATTGATTCTCCTGAGAGAGTTTGTATTGAGCTTTGCTGGTTGAAGCATATGAATTCAATTTTAGAGGCATTGACATAGAGTCCAGCATCATTAACAGAATTTTCTAGATGATGTAGGAGAACTGTAGAGCATTGGTGTCTGCAGTGGTAGCTAGGTCATCTGCAAAGTCAATATCAGTAAACTTTTTGCAGGATTTCAATTTGAGAATTTTGGTAATGAAACCTAGATGATGATGTTTGTCAAGTGAAGTTCTCAATACATAGTAAAGAGTAATAATACAAAGAAAAGGTGAAAGGGTATTACCCTGAAGGATTCCTGTTTTAATGTCAGTGTTAATGTTAATACTATCTTTATGGCAACTACAGTCTTGAGGGTGGGGATGCCATATGCCATAAGGATCTTTTCCATTTTTCTCCAATGTACAAAATCGAAGGCTTTAGAGATATCTACAAAAATTATGGTGACCTGTAGATTCTTTACTCCAATGGCATCACTAAACTACCAAACTGTGTTAAAAGGTTGATCTATTTTTCTGAAAGCCATTTTGACTTTTTCAGAGCACCTTCTCTACTTCAGATTGTATTATGTTGAGAAACATTGAGTTGTAAATATTTATTGCAATGAAGGTAAGTGGGATTCCTCTATAATTTTTTGCCAATCCTAGATGTCCTTTCTTAGGAAAAGTAATTATGCAGCCATCTGTACATTTTTCTATGAGATCTCTATTATATGTGCCATTGAAGTTAGGTTGAAGCAGAATATTGTTGAAATTCTGGGGTCTTTCAAACCTTCAGAGGAATATTATCAAGTCCTGCTTCTTTCCTATTTTTGGTGTTTTTTTAATGCCACTTCAAGTTCTGCATCTGAATATTTTCCAGGTTTCTTGTCAAGTAGATATTCAACGATTTCCTTGACATCTGTATCTAAAATGTCAGGTATATTTCTTGAGAGATTTTTAAAATGGTCTTGCCATTTATTCAGACTGACTATTGGCTTTTAACTTGGATTTATTTGATGATTTTCTGCCACTGATCTTGTTGACAATTTTCCAAACAAGAACAGATTGTTGTTGGTAGCAACAGTGTTGATGAGCCAAGTGAACTCGTATTCTCTCTCCACATGAATATAATTGTATATTATATTATAATTCTGTAATTATTATGGTGTCTGCATTGTCCGTGCACATGGCTGAGTGGTTAGAATGTCTACTTTCTGACCATGAGGCCAGGGTTTGAATCCACAATGGTTGATTTGTCAGTGTGGGGAATTCTTGATAATATCAGCCAGGGGAGGCGATCCCAATGTGTGGCACCTTCGGAAAGTTCCTGAGCATCATTAACCCAGGTCTTGTGAGTAAAATTGGGTAGAATGAACCATTTAGAAGACGTCAATGGTTGTGCAAACACATGTCATCATGAGTGGGGGTTTCAGCATGCCGGCCTTGTTTAAAAAGTAGATCACACTTTATGTGCTCTTTCCCAGAAATTGTAACTAAGATCTTCTCAGATTAGATGCACTATAAAACAACATTTGGATTCTGTGGGTTGAACAGGTACCTGTAATAAGGATTTGCTAGCTGCTCTGGGAACAAATGGTAGCCAGCCATAATATTGTTCAGGGTTTATTCATAGAAAAAATGGGTATTATGGTGTAAGATTTTATGAAAGAGAAGTACAAATTAAATGTTATAGTGAATGACTATAACTACAGAAAGAGTGGATCAGTGTTCCAGACTAGCTAAGTTATTACAATAGTGATAACAAGCCTTTTACCCTTACCCAATATCAGCCTCATGCTGCATTTTGTGTACATATCACACAAATAAATATTCAAAATTGCGTGAAAGATATTAACGTCAATTTCATTATTGGTAACTCATAAAAATTTATATTTAATTTTAAAACAGTTTACATTTCATAGAAAATGATTTAAAAAATATTCAAAAGAAAAATCAACATCCTAAAACCAAATTCATTTCAAATATTAATTTGTCCCGCACAGTGTAATGATACCAGAAATATATGAGTCCCATGGGAGGAAAACTTAAGAGGGTAGAAATACTTCTTGAGGGTCCCTGAAGAACTATTTTTTAAAATTATGGAGAAGATATTAATTGAAGCATATAAAAAAATATTTTTTGCTGAAAGCTTACGGCCACATCATATTGAAACACCGGTTCCCGTATGATCACCGAAGTTAAGCAATGTTGAACCTGTTCAGTACCTAGATGGGTGACCGTTTGGGAATAGCAGCTTCTGTAAGTTTGGATGTGTGTGTAGTGCAATGGATAATGGTTCAGATTTGTTAATCGGAGAGCTGAGTTCTAATTCCAGTTGGATTTATTATATTCACTCATACTTGGGGAAAGTTGTGATCTAACTCTTCTTACCCCAGCTATGGATTAATTAGTAAAACTTGTACCATTAATATATCGAAAAATAAAAATGAATTCAAAATATTTATTTCGGGATTAAATAACCCACATAGGTTTTGATATACCGCTAAACAAAATCAACCAAAATGTTTACTGAAAATGAAGTATCGGATTATTATAATAAAACAGACGTAGTATTTTTTTAATTCCAACATTTTGCAGACAAACCCAGTGTTTGGTAAACTTCCATAACCTTGTACACCGTATTCTATAAACTCAAACATTTTTGCATAACATTCGGCCTTTGAAATCATTTTCAGTTTCTTTTCTACCAATATTCTCCTAATATTTTCTTTTCGATTCCTCTTGACTCATGCCTTTATAGTAGACATCACATAATCAATTGGGTTCAACATGGGATTATAAAGCTCAAATCTTGAAATTTTGTTGTCCTTAAACTTACCCTCTAAAGTTTGATCGTCAAAATCGTTGTTATTATTAGGAGTAAAGACCAAAGCTTTTTTCTTATAAAACTATGTTTGAACATTTTTGGAACGTTCAAAATTTTAGTTAAAAATTTTGTTTTTCTTGCGTCATAGAGGTGACCAAAGATTAGTATAGGAAATTTTAGTGTTTTTTTTTTTTTCGATGTAAAACACGCTGATTTGAAAATTCTTGAATAAAAATAAAATAATTGTCAGATTTTAATGAAACTTTCAGATTTACTGGACAAACGCTTCTTTTTTTGGAAAATCTTGATAAAATATTTTTAGATTTGTTACCTCCCACTTATTTAGTTTATGAAATTTCGAGAAATTAATTTTTGCAGGGTTTAATGTTTATATAAGTTATAAGCAGAAGTACTTGGAGAATTTAAATCATCAGTTTCCTTTTTTGTAAGACAGGAGTCCCAGTTATCGAAAATCTGCCCTGAAACGTAAAATAAAAATCTAATAAAACTAAGACATTACTTAATTAGAAAAGCTTTTAATTGCTTTTATGAATAAGATACATTATGTACAGTATTGTTTTAAGAAAAAAATGTTTTCGATTAATACATTTTTTTACAGGCATTGTTTTCATTTCTTTAAATTTTAATTAGAATAATTTATAAAGTTTTAATCTTTTAAATTTTGTATTAATTTATACCAGTTAAGTGATATTGTCATTAAGTAATAACTATATTGTCTAATCATAAATGGAAAAGCTGACTACAATTCAGCGATTTCTAGTATTTTAAAAAATAATTTCGAATTATGTTTGTATAAACGTACCAATTTTTGTAAATACGGACGTCCATACACAACATTATCAGAAAAAAAAGAGTAGCTATATTAAATTTAAAGCCAAATTACCTAATAGTCAATAAAACATTAGATTACTAAGAATATTTCTCTTATATTTTAAAGATTACTGGGCAGTTATATATATATATATATATATATATATATATATATATATATATATATATATATATATATATATATATATATAAAAGGAGCTCACGTTATATTCAAGTAATTTTTATAGATATGTTCCCCATTAGAAAAAATTCCCAAACACAAGTGCATCGAGATAATTGTCAACACCTAATAAAAACACAACACTGCGTGACTTTTCATTTTAAAAAATTCATTTTAAACCTTCGGTATCGCTTTTCTGGGGAGATACGTAGTTCGTAGAATGACAATGAAAACATCTTATAATCTTTCCTCGTCTATCGGTCGATACGGCTCCGAAATCTGGATTATTGCACAGGCTTATTTTGATTTTAAAGGTTGTCACGTGTTCTCCTACAAATACCGGCTTAGATAGACAAGACGGAATATTTTCATCAGCCGTAGCAGCTGGGTCGCCAAAAACATTTTTTAACCGTCAATTCCATGTTTTCAAACGTCAGAGTTAGACAAGTTGCACGAACCAACTTTTCATTTTCGTCATTTACTGCCGTCAGCAAAAACAACAACAAAAAAGCTTAATGCTTGCACTCCTGCTGGCAAGTGAACATTAAAACCTCCATGTTTATGATATAAATATTCAAATTTTACCAAATATTCATGCCTGATGGACAGCGAAAGCCGTAAAAACTCTTTAATATGCACGTATGTTTTGGTCTCAAAAACAACGTGTCGTCTCAAGCCGGCTTTCATCCAGTTTTCTGCATTTTCATTGCTAAAGGATCCTGTTCGTATTTCTTGGTATATCAATCCAAGATTACTTATAGAATCCATCCGGTATATATTTTCTCCTTTTGATCCTACTGCAATAGTCATCTGTTTCTTTATGTGCCCAGCTTCTATTCTAAGTTATATTGAGGCTAAAGTTGGTTTTGTTCATATAAATGATAGGCAGGCTCTGGAACTGGTATGCATGTAGTGATCTGACATTTTTTTCCTTTATTCACCTGTCAACTGGCTTCTGATTCATTACAAACATGCTTTATTGTGTATAATAAAAATTCCAGATGTTTGAAGATGGAATCTTTAGAATCTTTCAAAGGTCATCTCCTTTAGCTGTTGAAGTGTCAGAATAGGGTTGGTTTTGATTGATCTGGAAAAAGATCACCATGAATTTCCGTCAGTTTGGCAAATCTGTGACCTTCGCAAAAGACCTCTTGGTATTCTTGCTTCCCCCCACTGAATATGCTGTTGGTCTTTTTAAGCTGCCACGGAAAGGAAACTACAAAAGCTCCTGTATGACAGCAAATGATGGATACTCTCCCCAAAGATAAAGAAGAGATTTGAAGCAACAGAAATATCGTTCTACAGAAAGATATTGAGGATGCCATTGAGCGAACATGAGAGTAACGACGAGGTTTTGGAGAAAATGGAAACAAAAAGTAAATTTATACTTAACATCAGGAAGAGGGAGTTGAAATTTCTGGGGCACATAACGAGGAAGAAAGACTTTGAAAATTTGATACTCACAGGACAGATTTGGAGAAAGAGGGACAGAGGAAAGCAGTGCGTAATAATCAATGATGTGCTTGAGTAAATGGATGGTAGAATAGGATTTGATAGAAATAACAAAAAGACAAAACTTATTAAGAGCTACAAGGAACAGGACGATGTCTAGAGCCATGATTGCCTACGTCTTGAAGGGACACTACACATAAAAGAAGAATAAACAGCCAAGTCACTCCAACCTCTCTTTGCTTCGTAAACGCCTATAATCCTGGCCTTGATGGATTCATTTCAAGATTTTTTGCCATTTCCTTGTAGCATGTTAGTGTCATTTTAATATTAAATATCATACGCTTGCTTGGACGAAGAGATTATTTTGAATATTTGGTCTAAAAGATATCATATTTATAACAATAAAATGAAATTCTCAGTTCATGGTCAAAGTTGAAAAGTTATAGATTCTCTCATTCACTCAAGTCCTGTAAAACCCACTGGGGAGTATAGGTCCCTGCTTTCAACACACTAGGCATCACTGTTGTGGTTTTCTTTATGGGATAAAGTTGCTAGCCACTTGCACATCTAGTTTTCAATTTAGAGTTGTCCTTTTCTTTAACTAGTTATACTAGTTGCCAACCTAGTCCAATGGGGCCCTACTGTTTTAACCCATAACTGGGGGAGAAGAGATGTATTCATACCTTTTCCAAGGTTATTTGTATGAAAATAAATGTTGTTGTGGGAGTCACCACTTTTGGTGCGACGTGTGGACGTTTATCAGTAAATATTTAATGGCTCCTGGTACATTTGTCCAGCAAACAATATTTGGTGGATTCATGTGAGTCTAGGTAAAAACAATAAACAAAATATGAATTTTAAACAAACAATTAATGCATGCAAAAAAAGAAATTAGACTAATGTGTGCACGGTTGAAAGGAAAGGAAAAGACATTAAAAACTGAACTATTAAGGATGATGGCTTGTGGGACACGCGCATGCGCTTGTGTAAAGCTTCAGTCGTCAGTCGACCGGGGAAACGAATGTGCTCCAACTGGAACGTTGGGCTAGAGATAAACCGCATGTAAAGAATTTGAATTTAAACACGAGTATCTGTTTTTTTTTTGTTTTGTATTTTTTGTTGTTTTTTTGGGGTTTTTTTTATGTAAAATTGTTACAAGCATTTATTTTATTTCCTTCTCCGCCATTAGACCGACTCGATCAATGACATTTATAAATGACTGAATAAATTCCTTTTGACGATAATTCACGTCAGTTAGGAGTTTTCCATTTTGTCATTTTTATTAACTATTTTTAACTCTATATAATCAAACATATTTTTATTATTATTATTATACTAAATAAAACAAAAATATATTAAGATGCACAAAAATATATACATATGTTTTTAAAGGTTTGTTATTTTATGCAACCAAAGGTTTTTTTCACAAACAGTAGAGGATTTCTTTGTACAAGATTATCAGTTTATCATAAATCTTACTAGAGAAGAAAACAGAATGCTCATTTGTAAAGATTTTAAAATTGTAAGACATTCAGTGCCTGGGGAAAGTTGATTATACAAATTACGTTCTTTTTATTAAAACAAGTATTTCGAATTATTTTTTAGAAAGTAATGAAAATTGTTGCATACTTAACATTGCCAGTGGCTAACATTGATAGTGTTAAAAGGAATAAAAGAGCAGAATAACTTTTTAGTTTTTGTAGCAAACAGACATTCCAACTCACTTATTATACAGTCTACAACTAGCTTTCAATAATTTTCTCCTTGTTTTACACTTTACAGACATCAAACGATCGCTTGGTCTAAAAACTGGCATTCGATAAAAGGAATGAACAACTGACTTTCCCCATTATCAAAAATATTCATATTTCATGTCTTTTCGTAATGTCACAGAGAACAAGGCATTTATTTGCTTACAAGTAGTCAATGAAATGTAAGTGATGAAGTATTTGTAGTGCTTGTAGGCAAA